TTTTACTTACTTTTTTTNTTTTTTTTTTTTTAACCGATAGAATATTTGAATTTTTGATCGTGACAAGATTCGTTGATTCGACAATGATTACTCGGTGAGATACTTACTGATAAATATATTTTACCGATTGTGAAAATGATTCGAATGAAATATATTTGATGATATGTAGATAAGGAGGAATCATTTTCGAAAAAAATTCATTTTTACGATATGCAATGTAAAAAAAGAATTTGGATATTATTGTATAACATTTGTCGATGGATAGAGAATTGTGTACATATCGTATATATAATGATAATTTGATGTACAATTTTAATGTATTTAATAATAATATATCATGATGATATAATGATACAATGTTACATTTTTATTCGCATAATATTTAATTTTTTTCGTACCATAATTAATCAGAGATACTGAAAACAAAGATATGGAAGTCTGCATATTATATTTATTAGTTACTAATAAAAATATCTGTAAATATTTTTTGTAATCATTGTATATGTTTCTATAATAAAAATTTTTATAATTATATAAATTGGAATTATATAAATTAATAGTAATAATTCCAATATGTGTAAAAGTAATGTAATACAAAATTTAAAATAAATTTAAAGTGAAGTTATTTTCAGAGATGCGTTTATATGTTAATTGAATATATTATTTCAGCGATTCCATCCAATGATCGAGAGATTTTGTTCGTGAGGAAATTATTTCAAGTTTCAATGAATTTTGAAATATTGAATTGTAGAAATATGTTATGCGATGGGAACAATTGCACATCACTCTGTATTTTAATATAATGTTTGCCAATATGTACGAATACTGCAAATGCTGCCTTTAAAATGATAAATCCTCTTGGAAACAGGAATTACAGGAAACATGGATAGAAATTGCCAAAGTGATGATTGTAATAATGCGTTTCTTTTGAAAGCGAATTGGATTTTTGATGGATTGAAAATTAATATATCTAACAGAAAATATAACGTTATATTCATAATTCCACTTAAATTCGCTTATTCTTTGCAACTTCGTTCAACAATTATAGATACACATTCTATAAGCCAATTTTACAGCTAAATTTTCTTTTCCATAACAAAAATTTCAATATTTGTATCTTTATGTCTTGTGAAAAAATTTGAAAATTCTTATCAATATAAAAATTTCTAAGAATAAATTAATTTATATTATTAATTCTTATTCCCATTTGAATATTTAATATATAGATTGGAAATTTCCTATGGAACGAAGAAATTAAAAATTTTTCATTTATATCGACGATAGCAATCAAGATTGACATTCTACACCATTTATATTGTTCTATCTCTTTCACTATTCAATGTTCAAAATTTGAAAAATTCCTTTCCACGTACACGTATATTGCGATCAAAAATATATTTTCCATAAAACGAGAAGATAAAAATTTTTATAAAAGAAACATTGTATTTACCAATTCATCAAATCACGTTATTCTTCATTCTACAATTCTTCTATATATATATATCAAAAATATAAAACAAGAGAGTATAGAAAAAAAAAATTATGACATATTTCCAACAAGATATAATATTTCCCAAGAAATCATTCAGAAGTATTGTTTCGATTCAACTAACTATTGAAACTCATTGTCTTCTTAATCCACCCCTTTGCCATTTTTACTATCGCTCACTGTATACATTCGTTTATTTACAGTTTCGACACGAGGGGTCGAAGCAACCTGGAACAAGGGAAACACTGGCAGGATATCAGCCTCGAAAATCGTGCCTTCTTCAGATATTCAGAACACCCCGCGAAACTCATTCTCGAGAAAGTCGGTGAGAGCGATGCCGCCGTTTACAGATGCAGGGTCGATTTCAAGCAATCCCCCACCAGGAACAGCAAAGTGAATCTCACGGTTATCAGTAAGTTTTCTTTCATATGTTTTATATTCATGATTTTTCTTTATCTTCCTTTTCCTCTCTTTAAATTTGCAATAATTTATAATATTAATATTTTATAATGTGCAAATTTATTTATATGTGATGTTATAATTAAATTGATTGATTTTTAATAGAAATAAAATAATGAAATTTAATATTGCAGAAATATTCAAACAGTTGATAATATTGTTAAATAATGATAGAATTAATTGAATATAAATTTAGCCTGTTAATATAAATATACTAAAATAATTTAATAATATTTCCAATGAACAAATATATGGAACAATAATTTTTAACACACTGTGATGTTCAAATATTTAATTGTAATAATAATTATTATATCTTTTCTTTTTTCTTGAGAAATAATTTAAACATGAAATATCAAAGTAATCGAAATTGTAGAAATAATGTTGATTTTTAATTTATACAATGTTCATGTTGTTATTTTTTTTTGAGAATTTTTGATGTTTCGATGATATTCAGTTTCGAAATGATTCCTTATTTATTTTTTCTTCTTCTCCGTTAATTGTTCTTCGAATTGTAATTTTTTTCTTGAAACAGATCCCTCATTATATAACCTTTTTCTGTTTCTGTTTTTCTTTTTCTTACGACTTTTCCTTTATCGGCTATTTCTTAAGTTAAACTCCTTTGAACCCTTTCCCCTTGCATCCTCGACCGGATACGTATTTCGTCCGTCCCTTGTGTCTGTCCGTTTCATTCTCCATTAATCTTCTCGTCCTTCCATTTCCTCTGCTTTGAGTCACCTGCATCCATTACTTCCTCTTGACACGGTAATGCAATATCTTCGAGCTTTGTCTTTGCTCGAACTTGTTTATTACGCTTCCTTTTTTCCTACCATTTGTTTGCGTATCCATCTCCTTCTTCCATTTTTCATCTTATCACTGACAATTCTTTTTCAGTTTTTGACTTCCATCTCATTACACACACACAGATTTTGTAATTTTTATCTTGTATAATATCAACATTTACGATTATCTTCTATTCCATCTTTAATATCTTTTTTCCCTCTAAATATATTTTTCATGATTCTCATTTATTTTCGAATTAAAAAATTTTTCACATGTGTTCGTGAATTTTGTCATACATCTATACATCCTCCTCTTGTTTCTTTCCTTTGCAATTTAGTTTTTTAATACGAATGATACGGGCAGTTGGAATGTTATTACAGAAACATAAAAAGAAAATTAAAAAAAAGAAAATTAAAAAAAAGAAAAAAAAAAAAGCAGAGTCATTCGTATCTGTGTCACTAGTACAACCACTTTTCTTGATAAATTTCTAAGTTTTCCTCTTTTCCTCTTTCTCTCCTTTTTTTTCCCTCTTTGTCTCTTTTTCTTCCTTTTAACAATTACACGCTTCTCTCTTGAATAAATAAAATAATATATATAAACTAAATTTTTAAAATTATATTTCTTCTTTTTGTTTTAATCTTCATTACGTTATATCGATTTTTTCTGTTTCTTAATTTTCTTTCGTATGTTAAATGTTATTCTTTTTTTACCTTGTGATATAATGGATTCTAATTTTATAGAGTTTATCCCTTCTATTTTCTTTTTTTAAGATGAAAGAGAACTTAATTTACTTACTTTTTTCTAATAATTTATAATTTTTTTTTCTTTATTTTATTTATTTTACTCATATTTTTGGAACAAATGCAATTTTCTTTGCTGATCCTTTTTTCGTATAATAATGCCTTTCTATGTTATACCTTAATATTTCACAAAGTAATAATTCTATTCTTCTTTGTTTCTTTCTCTTGAAATCAAGGAAATTTCATTTCCGCCAATTTCTTTCGACCAACAATTTCCCCAATTTTCATAATTTTTCCTAGATTCCAAAGATAGATAAACTACCTTTCTTCCTTTTCTCAGCATCGTCATTTTTAATTTATTTTTCATTTCGTTAAACTTTCTTCCTACGATAATCCTTTTTCAATTTTCTTCCATGCTATATAAACCACAATTCTCTCACATTGAGACAATTTATCTATTCATTTCTCTCTTCAAATTTCATCTTCCTGATAATTTTTAACAAATTTTTCACGTATCACATTCTAGCTTAATATTTTCTTCATCCTATCCTCTTTATCTTTCTCTCTTTAATCAACTAAACATTCAATCCCTGCCTCTCTCTCTCTCTCTCTCTCTCTCTCTCTCGTCTCT